TGTCTCCACTAGAGTTTGAAGAGTTAGGGAAGCAGTTAGAGGAGCTGATTAATACTGGCCATATCAAACCATATGAGGTACATATGGACGCATCAGACTTTACGATAGAGGGAAGTGCTGATGTAAGAGAACCATTCGATCATATTTGAGAGCTAAAAGCTTAATAAAATTGAGTGCAAGTACATAATCTAAGAGAAAAAATGATAACAGTGGCGTATTGTTTGCGCATTTGATGGCATAACCTATTGGGGGTCGAGGTTTGTGGTCAGAACAAACAATATGGCAACTAGCTACTTCTAGATGTAGAAGAAGCTATCCCTTAAGTAGGCTTATTGGCATGATTTTTTTACAAAATTTGATTACAGTTTGGAGTATAAGCCAGGGTGGGCGAACATAGTGGCTGACGCCCTAAGCAAATCAAGAAAACTATTATGATAAATTATTTTCAAAGTATTAGATGATGATATTCGAGTATTAAAGTATGTAATTACATTTTTTCGATAGTGATAACCAAGTATTAAAGTATGAATTTCATTTTATTGATGGTGATATCCAAGACATTTTCAAAATCACTTGGTGGTGATATCCAAGTTTAAAGTTTGAATTTACATTCTTTATTTACATTTGTATTTTTTTAATGGTGATATTTGAGTTTTCTTTGGTGGCAATAACTAAAGTCATTTACATTCTCTTGGTGGTGATATCCAAGTGATAAAAATCATTTATCCTTTAGTGGTGATATCTAAGTGTTAAAAATCATTTACATTTTTTCAGTGATGATATCGAGTATTAAAAGTCATTTGTATATTCTCGGCAGTGATATCTAAGTGTTAAAACTAGAATTACATTTTTTCGACGGTGATATTCGAGTGTTAAATGTTGAATTATATTTTTTCGATGGTGATATTCAAGTTTTCTTTGATAGCGGTATTCAAAGTTATTCATATATTTTCGATGGGGATATTCGAGATCATCCAAGTTTCTTTTGATGATGATATTTGAAGTTATTTTTTGATAGTTCAATTTATTTTTATTGAGCTTCTGTTTAGAGAAGTCTTTTAAATTTATTTTTATTGAGCCTCTGTTTAGAAGAACTTTTCAAAATTTTTTTAAAAAAAAAGAAAAACTTTGTGTTTAATGTTTTGCCTAAACAAAATGGTAATTTTTTGGTCTTTGCCTTATTCCTTATTCTAAAAAATAGGCAAAGAGAGGTAGCTATAGACACCTATTTTATATTTATTTTTTTTCTTTGTTCCTTTTCTATCACCTTTTCTATCAGCCGTCGATAGCTGTATTGCAAGCGACCCTGACAATCATCAACCGTCACTCTGACGGCCACCTCAACCCTAGGCAACCAAAGTTTAGCACAATTCTAAAAAATTTGAGATTTTGATTCTAATATGGCTTTATAAATAGAGCCACAAAAGGGAAAAACCCACAAAAAACCATCTAGAAAAGAAAACAAAACCTTACAAAAATGAAAAAAATCAGATTAAAAAAATTTTATCAGATAAAAAAAAACCTTTCTATAAAAAAAAAAGCAAAAATGCCAAAACAACAAAAATAAAAAACACAAAAAAAAATAGCCCTTAGTTATGGGGAACCATAGCGCCAAACCAAAAAAATATTTTTTCCTGAAACTTTGGGCCTCAATCTACATAGCTCGAGGCCATTTCTTGCAAAACTAGGTTCAGATTTGTATTTGGGGGGTTGAGGGAAAGATTTTTGGTGACTTTGCATTTTTTTATGACCAACAGACGGTGAACGACGACGACGACATACGGATGACTTGATATATCAACATTGAATTCTGGGAGCGGTAGTTATCGAGTTCTGGGTTTTTTAGAGAAAGTGAGAGCATCTGAGAGGGAAAGAAAAGAAAGAAGAAGAAAAAAAAAAATCTAATTTGGCCTTTAAATAGGCTTTTAAAACGATGTTGTTTCGTGGGAAAAGGATCTATGTGTCAACTCGGATTCGAATCGGGTCCATGCACCAGACCTACAAATCGACCTTCTACCCTGTTGATCGATACGGGTGAATCGCTCTAGGCCGGGATTGGACCGTCGGCATTGACTCGTCATTACTAATGTTGACTCACTGTTGACTGACTAAAAAATTGATTTTTTTCTAACTTTTATTATTTATTCCATTTATTCTATTTTATTTTTTTTGTATTTTACTTTATAATTTAAGATATGTATAAATAAGTACAATAATGATAAAAATACTAATAATAAATAAAATATGATAAAAATTAAAATTAAAATCACAAGTGGTGATTTTGTTAAAAATATTTATACAAAAGAATTTTTTAAATTATTCTAAAAATGTTCAAAATATTCTAGAAAAAATTTTAAAACATCAAAAAATATTATTAACTAAAAAAAATAAAATCACATGTGGTGATCTAATAAAAAAATTTATACAAAGGAATTTTTTGAAATGTTTTAAAAAATGTTAGAAAATTTTTAGATTTTTCAAACAAAAATACTAATAACAATAAAGTCACAAGTGGTGATTTTATTAAAAAAAATTCACACAAAATTTTTTTTCCTAAAATAATTAGAAATATTTTTGAATTTTCCAAACAAAAATTATCATTAATAATAATAAGATAATAAGTGGTGATTCTTAAATTATTCTTTTCAAATTTTTTTCGAAAGTGTTGAAAAAATTATTTGAAAATATTTTCAATAAAAAAATATAAAATGTTTAATTGTCGAAATAAATAAAATTTTATGAGAATAAAAGTCATGAGTGGTGACTTTATCAAAATTTCTTAAATAAAAGATTTTATCAAAATAGTCCGAAAGAATCCGAAATATTTTGAGAATTCAACCAATAAATTTTACTTCAATAATGTAATAAACAATAAATAAACATTCCAAAGTAAATCAAAATTTCCATCGATAATAAAATCAAGAGAGAATTACAAGTGGTGATTTTTTTTTTTTTTAAGATCATACCAAAAGTGTTGGTATAAGAAAATTATGATTTACTTAAAAATATATATATTAAAATAAATCAAACGATGGAGTTTCTTCAAGGAAATAAGTGATTTCTTTGAATACTCTTGAAGGAAAAAATTTTAAATTATATTGAAAGTATAAAAAATAACATAGAAAATTTTTTATAATAAAAATAAAAAATAAAAATAATCAAAAGACTATTCAAACAAGACCATTCTAGGATCATATAAAATTAATTGGTAACCATTTTCAGACGGGCGTTGTAGGGGTGTTATAATCTTCCCCACACGTAACTATACTTCCAAACTCAATCTCAAATTCGTAGACAAAAAATAAGATTAGTGGCCAATCGCACTTCAACAAAAAATATTGATGACGACTCTTTAATTTTCACGTCTAACGATTAAATCTCTGGACGAAAAATCATTATGACAGGTATTTTACAAGGTTGTTAATACATATCGAATAACATTTCAATTTTCTTTAAAAATGTGGTATATGTTGGTACCAGTTATTTCGACATATTATTTTGGATTTTTTAGTTTAGTATAAATATATTTATAAATATATATGAACTTGTATATTATAATCCTGGTAATAATTTACAAAATAAATAAGCAATAACTTCAAAAGTCAAATAAATAAGTTTAAAAGTATAATAAATAATATCATAAAATTTTCATGATATTTTTAAACATTCAATCTTATTATATAATATTTAAATAAATATTTTTTATGCAAATATTTAGATAAAAACAAAAAGATAAAAAAAAATTAAATTTGGTTTCATGATTGTTAAATTTTAGAAAATGAGCACAATTATTTTCTTGAAAAAAATTGAAACACTTGTGAACTTTGTTTGAAAAATAAAGTACAAAAGAAAACAAGTTCCAACAAAAAAAAATAAAGAAACCAAACTTTTAAGAGTTATTTTGTTAATTAATTTTATTTTTATTAGGTTAAAAATAGGTAAACAACAAAAAAAAATTAAAAATTACAAAACATGTTTCACATTTACTTAGTCATGTATCAACCAAAATAAATCAATTTACTAAAATTAATTGAAATCAGTTGAAACCGATGAAAACAATCAATATTACCTGATGTCAAATTTTGTATAAAAATTTATTTTTAGATGTACCATGTTTTGGTATTATTGAAATGTATCAAAACTAAATTAACAACTATGGTATTTTATATAAGTGATAAAAAATTGTGACAGATTTAGTAATAATATATGAAAATTATTATAAAATTTTCAATATTGTGATGGAATATTAAGATAGAATATTGTTGCAATTTTTCAAAAATAAAACATTTTTTTAAAAATTCAAAATATTTTTTATATTAGAGAGACTAAATTTTAAATTTTGTATAAGTAAAAAGACTAAATTTCAAAATTTATATAAATATAGAGATCGTTTATATAATTTAATAACTAATTTTATTCATCTCAATTATTATATCAACAAATTAATCTTATATCAATAGAGTCAATATTACATTAATAAAATAAATGTCTAAGTCATCAAGTCAATTATTATGTTAGCATTTTTAACGATAAAAAAAATTAAAGGAGTCATTAAGTCAACAATTACATTAGTATTTTTAATATTAAAAAATTAAAAAAATTAATAATTAAATTAAAATTATAAAATCAAAATAAATTATTTTTTTAAACCCTTTTTAAGTCTAATAAATCTAATTGAGTTAAAGACACTTAATGTAATTTCAGGAAAATGAAAAATGAAAACCCCAGTCTCCTAGATAACCAAATGTGGCGGACGTTGTTGTAACCGGCACCGTAATTCCAACATGTTTTCCATAAGTCAAAGGTCTTTCATGTAATTTCATGAAAAATGAAAACCCTAATTTACTAGGTAACAAAAATGTAATGGAAACTGCTGAGTGGCCGTAATTCCAACGTTTTTTTCAAGTAATTCTAGAAAAAAGTTTTAGTTAATCAAATTGACAACCCATTGATTTTCTGTTTATTTCTCATAACAAAAAGTTAATTATAAGTCTCCTTTTTTTAGTTTTATTTTTTCCTTATTTCTTTTTCTTTAAAAAAGGAAAATATCCAATTTTTTACCCCACTCTACTATATATATGTGGAAAAATCAGCTTTCTTTTAAAAAAAACCTAGAAAAGTTTTATAAAAAAATTGGTTGATGGCTGCTAGCAAGCTGGTTCGAGATTTTTTGATTGCAAGACCACCCTTTTTTCGTCACCTTTCGTCTCAACAGGTATAACGCTGGTTCGGGAAGATTTTAAAATTTTGTTTTGGTTTTCTTTTTTTTTTTCTAATCTATAACGCTGGTTGGGAAGATTATAAAATTTTGTTTTTTTTTTTTCTAAGTAATTTTTTTGGTCTGGGAATTTGATGTTTTAGGGTTCGAATGTGAGACTAAGATTGTTATCTGGAAATGGGTATTTGAGTAATCGATGGTTTAGTGTCTTCAATGAGTTCTCCAACAAAATTAAAGGCGAAGTTAACAGGTATTTTGCAGCTAATGATATTTTGCGAAGGTAAAAACTAAAAAAATAAGTTTCTTCATCTTCTTTGGGTGTAATTTTTGTAGAAATTCGGAATTTCAGCAATCCGTTGAGGAACTGAAGGGGAAAGCAGAAGAGTTGAACGTCAGGTAATTTTTCTTGTATTATAGCATGATATAGCCTTATTAGGGTAATAGGCTGAGACATACCCTTGTATGTCAAGGGAGTGCCTGAGATGGTGAAATGGCGAATGCAGAACGAAGCAGACAACTGAGCAGCTCTACAAGCAGGTCGATGGTACGTGGACAGAGGCTGAAGCTACAGCTAAGAAGGTTAGGTTCAAATTTTTCTTCTCTTCCTATAGTTCTTTCAGGGATTTGCCTGTATTATTATTTACTCAGAGTAGTTATGCTGACACTATATTATGTATCTATTATGTGTTTTCTCCGAATTACTTTTCCTTGTAATGCATATTTATGGATGTTACATAATACCCAAAAACCATTTGTAGCTTTCCTTGTGCATTTTGTATAAATAGATTTTGTGGAATTAATAGGTAATCCAGCTTAATCGACAAGCTTAACTTTAGAATTCGACCATAGCTCAGACGTTGGCTTGATTGGATCAAAATCGAAGGATGATTACTGAAAACCAACCTTCCATTGATTTCACGTTGCACAGTTCTGTTAATACATATACGCATGCACATATGTACATATGTATCTATGTTGCTTGTATGCAATGTTTTACCTTACGATGATGCCCTTAGTTGCCTCTCTTAGATGCTGCCACAGTTCAGGCAATATACATTCTATATTCTTTGCTATGTGGAATAATATGAATTGAATCAGCTGTAGTATTCTTGTCGCTACTAGAAATAGGCGCGTGTTTCATTGTTGTTTAGCTCTTGGCTGTGAGATGTGAAGAAGGTTTTTGTCTGTTTTGAATGTGAATCTTTCAACGAGCTGTTCTCTATGATGGGGATACCTAAATCATATTTGATTGGCTATTATGTTGTTTGTAGGTTTCTGCCAACGTGAAAGAGAAGATTTCAGCTGCAAAAGCGGAGGTTTGCTTTCTATTCAGATGGTTGGCCTACTAATTATGTCCATGACCATTTGTTAATAAGTTATTCCATATTCTTTTGATTTAGGTTAAGGAAACTTTTGGGATTGGAAAGGAAGAGTCTTCACAGTCAACCAGTACCTCGGCTCAGCATGGAACTGAAGTGAAGGATGGAGAAAAGGTGTCATCCGGGGAACAGAAACATGAGCAGTCTGGGTCTGGTGATACTGCAGAAACTATATTTGGAAAATTGAAGTCAGGCATTTCTTCTCCAAAGGTTTCTTTGGCTTTCCAAAGGTTAAAGGAAGCAAAGGTCATTGATTTAGCAAAGAAGGGATATGACATTGTTAAGGATGAGTTAAGGGGTAACCCAAGTAAGAGAAAGCACCTGGAGTATACTCCCCCTCCTTCATCAGCAGGTGAAAGAAGTATGAGAACTGATATTGTTGTTTTGCCATCTAAGCAGTCCCGTTGGAGTAAAAGGTGGGAGGCATTAAAGGAGAAGGTAAGTTTACCATCGTTAGTGAGTTTTACTAAAATATCACTAAAAAGTTTCCCATATTACTTATATATCTCTGCTTATGTGAATGGTCTTTTTTCTCTCGTGCATAGGTGCAAGGTCATCCTTTATTCAAGCATGTTAGCGGTTATAGTGAACCTGTTGTGACAAAGGGCCAAGAGGTAAGTTTCCAGCCTGTTGCCTTTTCTTCCTCACCGTCCTTCCAGTTCTTTTGCTTACTATTTATTCTGGTTAAGATTCATGCTCTATCTATTGCTTACACTGGAGTGTCTCAGTTTGTTAAATCAAGAAAAATAAAATATACACATACTTTTCATTGAACTGGTTGAAATTATTATATAACTGAATTGGCAGATTGCAGAGGATATGCGTGAAAGATGGGAGACCAGTGATAACCCCATTGTTCACAAAATTCAGGAGTATGCTACTCATTCTTGTTGTGTTTTTATACTTTTCCTGCTACTATTTTAGTAATCTTTCAACATGATATTTGGAGTTATTCATGTGATGTTTTGGGTGCTGATTTCATAGTTCTCCTTTTGGCAGTATAAACGAAAGTATCTTTCAAGAAACAGATGCTGCAGCATCATACAAAGAAATACGTCGACGAGATCCGTATGGTCTCCTCTCCTTCATTTTTGCGTCAGTATTGCTTCAGTATTTATGTTCCATTTCTTGACATCTGCTATGGAATTCTTGGTGCATGGATTAGGTCATTCTCTTTGCCAGAGTTTGTGGCAGAAATTCAGGAAGCAATCAGGCCAGTCCTAAATGCTTATATAAAAGTGAGTATGGGGTTCTGCTGGCTCATATTCTAGTGTTTTATCATTTCCAATAAAAAGTATGTTGCAGATGGTGGCTTTCTCTAATATAATTAGCAAAAAAATTTATACATGTAGGGAGATGTTGAAAATTTGAAGAAGTATTGTAGTCCTGAGGTCATTGAAAGGTGCAAAGCAGAGCATATTGCTTATCGGAGCCATGGTATATTTTTCGAAAACAAGGTACAATTTTGTTAAATGCCGTATGATATGGATCTTGGTAAGATGGTTATCTTTAACCACAACCATATAAAGTTTTCTGGAGTTTGTTGTAAAAAAAATGAGCACGAAAATGGTGACCTGATATAACAAAATGTTGTTATAAATTATCATGGCCTTGGTAAAAGTCAAGTAGCAGATTGTTTTTAGGATGATTTGGTTCTAAATGTATTGGTGAATTATATTCTTGATATGGACTATGAAGTGATGTTTCTAATTTGGGCCTACTTCCGCCACAGATTCTTCATGTATCTGACGTAGAAGTTAGAGAAACCAAAATGATGGGGACTTCCCCCATTATCATTGTGGCAGTATGAGTTTCTTCTGCTTCTTCAGTTTCTTTCTTGATTTTAGGCTTCTTAAGGTTTTTGAAGCTGATGCTGGCGGCCTTTGCCCTCTATATTGACAGTTTCAAACGCAGCAGATCTACTGTGTACGTGATAGAGAGGGCAAAATAACGGAAGGTGGGAAGGTAAATGAAAAACTATTTTTCCGTTTTGCCTGTATTTTATTTCATGAATATATGATCATATATTGTTTCTGTATAAAGGCTACCAGTTAAAATTGTGTATAAAATTAACTACAACAATTTGAAACTTAGGTATTCTATAAATCAGTGGGAGATATGTCAGTGTTGTGTTCATACCTTTGCTTTAAAAGATTTTGATCTTTGATTTACCATCTTGTGTGTTCTAAACATTAAGAATGTGTTGATTTAGATCTTCTAAAATTTGTCTTTTTCCTAGGATACGATTCACACTGTGTATTATGCTTGGGCCATGCAACAAGTTGATGTAGAAGAACTTGGAGAGGGTGCTCTCTATCCAATATGGAAGCTTAGAGAAATGCAACAAATTGGTGTACAAGCCCTCATCTAGTTCATTTTATGGTCAATGTCCTCTCCTATTAATGCTGGTGTTGTATGATTTGATGCCACCTGCTTTGATATTTTTTTGTCTGCTGATTCTCTCTGGGTTTTGTTAGTTTCTCTGCCAGGGAGAATTTTAGCTGATAAATAATTTTTTCAATTATTTTTTAGCAAATAAAGGAATTTTTACAGGTTTGCCTGAGATTCTTGAATGCGGTTCAATGTATGATGGCACTTGACTTTTCTGTGCATTCAATAGGGTAGGAATTCCTAGCATGCTGCCATCAGATGGATTAACATGAACTGTTATAACTTTCCAAGAAATCTATCCAGATTCCAAGAGGCATCAAATAATGTTTCTTTATAGCATTCTTTATTCATGGTTCATGATTCTTTTGTCTATCTGATGGTTATCGAAATTGTGAATTTGAAGAGTTATAGTGCTCATTGCTTATTTTAAAGGCTTTACTGTCCCCATGCCTTACAAGCTAAAGTTTTAGCGTTTTATCTGTTAACTTGGTTTTATAGATTTCTAAAAAATGTTTTCTAGTTAATGCTAGAGTCTTAACTGCTCCATATCCTCAGAATTTTTTGGTTTGTCTGTTCTTCTTTTTTGTGGGTTTGCTTCGAGAGTTGGATTCCAGGTTTGGGAATGCATCGTGCGCATTGTTTTCCCCCCTAGGAACCATTTTACTTCATGGTGCAATAATGAATAGGATAATCTCGATTTGTAGATTTTCTATGGATGTTTAGAGATTTTATGGTTTAGGTAGAAATCTGTTTCCGAAAATCAATCCAAGTTGTAGGGAACACAACATGCAGAAAATATCTCTGAACTGTAGGTCTTTACGATCAAAAGCTTGGAAGATTTGTCAGAATCCAATACACTTTTTATTGATGATAATTCAAAAGCTATACTCTTGCATGTATTTGCACTTACCTAATTAACACTCGATTTCTGCATTGAAAAGTTGAAACCTATATCTCTATCTCTGTAAGAAAGGTTGTGCTTTGAGGCCATGGTTCCGGGGTGGTCAAGACAACAAAAAAAATAAATAAATAAAGGGGAAAAAGACCGAGAACTTTATCTAACATGAGGTTTGGCTAGGAGGAATCAGCATAGCCTTCTCCTTGGACCGCTTCACTTGTTGTGCTTCTCCTGGAGAAATATTGCAAGAGTTAGTGAGGACTTGCATGGGGATACCTGTTATTACTGAGAGGCGATCAGCCAAGGGGCTCTTCATTGGCTGGCTAGATATTTTGAAGGACACGTATTCGAAAGCCATTGCTTCCGGCTCTTGTTATTACTGCGAAGAATTGAGGGATTATTTTGAAGGACATGTCGCCTTTCTGTATACTCTCATCCATTACGGCTCCTCCAGTATTATCCACGATTTGTTCTTGGGCTTCACTATTGGTCACGTAAACCACCCTGTGGTCGGTCATTGACCAGTTTCGCTTTTATAATGTCTAGAACCATTGGGCTTCACCATCTATAACAATTTTGAAAAGTTTATACTATTAATTAATGAAGTGATTCTGGAAAACCATTTGATCTTTTATAATATCTAGAATCATACCAAACTTTCTCGGCTTGAGATAACCTCTTTCGGCGCTCAAGTCAAGGTATTGAAGGATTGGGAGCTTTTGCTGGTCTACGATGCTGATTCTTCCGGCTTGCCTTGACACAAAATCAGCTTCAATCTTCATGTTTTGCTTAATTCTCATGGTGCATATGATCTCTTCTATTCCATTTTGCTTCATTTCGTACTGCATTCTTTTTTCTTCCTCTTCCTGGGGAACAAAACTCATCGTTTCGTTACACTTGACCAAGACTCACTTGATTAGTTTCCTTCTGCATTTTTCTCACAACCTTAACTGGAACATCGAAAGCCTCTGCCAGTAATTGCTGATCGAATCCACTCAATAAGCCTCGGAAAGTCTCTTGACTCCTTTTACCCCTCTGTCCTCTACTACTTGCTTGTCCTCCAGCCAGACCGAAATACTGTGCAATATCAAAGATACATAAATGGATTCAGGGATACTTTCTAAATGTAAGATGACAGGCTTGCAACGCCAAATACAGTAAAAAAATGGTTATCCTGAAGTTCTGGTCCAGCTGGTTAGCTTGATTGTTGAGATCAAAGACAGAAACCGCGACTAGCTCTTCTTAACCATCATTGTGGCACCAACGGGCTGCACCAGCTGGGATGGCAAGAATGTCTTCTTGGCTAATCCGACGCATCTTTTAGTGCTGGTCCATATTCTTCTGCTGGCTTCATGCTCTCTCCATCCGCTTTCTCGGCTTCTGGAGGATTTTTGTTCTGACTTATAAGTCTCTAGACACCCTGGGAAAGTCGCTCCAAGCAAGTCACTACTTGTAGAATTTATTGCAGTCATGTTAGATTCTCTTGATAAAATTTCCAGATTTTACCATTTACATAAACGTTTATTGTCAAGTTTCTGAACCTTTCAGGACATAGCGCAATTGAGGAAATGGCTGGAAGTTAGGCAAAAGAGAGAGACTTGGGTTGGATGGTGGTTTTCAGTGCAGCTACTCCAGCACATTGGAACTGCTTTTCATTTTCGTTCCAGGATTCAGCCATACCCCTCTTGGATTCAATTCGTTGAGAGGGCTGGCTCCTAGTAATCTGCTGCAGCAGACATTTCTGTGCTCGCTGAGACTGCAAGTATCGCTTCCCAACAGCAGCATAAGCAAGCAAAGAGAGGAAAATTGCAAGAGCTAGCTTGGCAGTAGTAACCATGTTAAGGAAATTGGAAGGAGGGGAGATGAGAAGGTTTGGGCCTTTGAGGTCCGTTTTATAGTGTGGAGAAATTGGATTGTAGTTAAAAAGTGTTGGGTCGGAGGCAATGAAGGCTAGTTGTTTTTGCATGTGGAGAATGCCGTGATGTTAACTAACGCAAACCACCTTGCAAAGTTGCAGTGGGTTAAACTTTTGCAATGCTAAGGGCATTTAATGCGTGGTGAAGAAGTGGAAGTTTATCCTTCAGTGCTTAACCCCCATTTGTCGAGGCTTCTTTGATTGTTAGATACTTCCATTTAACATTAATTTCTGCCCAAGGGCCGAAGGGACAAATTTTCTGGGCCTCTGAAGGATCAGCATAGCCTAACTATAGGCCCAGTTCTCTAGTCTCTAGTTTGGTCCTGATTCTTCTGTAATATTCATAGCTGGATTGGGCAACTTTGATGAGCTTACATAGCCCACGACTGTCCTGAGTTGGTTATGTTACGCCTTTTAAAAAAAAAAAAGAAATATTTTTACTATAACCTTTACGCAAGGCAAATTATTTCTCAAGCTTCATACATGCGTATATATATATATATATCTGCATTCTAGATTAATCCTTGCTTTTTCAAGGAAATGCAACTTAAACATGCCTTGAAGAACCGATGCAAATTGTTAGCCTTTTCTCTTTGACTTGATAGATATATTGTTGGGTATGACTTTCAAATGCTTAGCTTAACTTTAAGATATTGATATGGCCGTAAAAGGAAATTCAATCAGCTAAATATGTTTACGTCTTGGTCTTATGAAGTTAGATGTATGGTTAGGCATAAAGAAAATATGCCGCCTTTCAATATTTACCACCAATGAGTAATGATCATTTGCTTTTGTTACTTTCAACTTATAACCCAACCAACCAACCAAACCAAAGCATATTTGAAAACTTGGGAAAATGGAAATTAAGGCAAGAATTTGGATGGATTGTTCTCACGAAAATGATTTAACACAAGATGGGAGGATCAAGAAACAACAAAAATGAGAAAAGGGCATCCATAGATCTCCACCTTATCACCTTTGAGGTACCATGGGAACTAATATCATGGGTTGCATAAAGAAGGTCCTTTTTGCATAAAGGAATAGATATACGTGTGAAAAAGGCCTAGAAGAGAACCAAGTATGAAATCTCCTTAATGATCTAATTATAAAGATGACTTCAAAAAGGAAAAGTAATTAAACAAAAAGAGTAGAACCATCCAGATTCAGTGCACGAAATTTTTAGGGGTTAGGGCCAATTAGGTTTAAGGCTTTGATTTACTTGTTCTCCATGTCACCCCCATAGTTCTATTATTAGCATTAATCCATAGTCCAAATTCTCAACTTTCCTCTTCAAGAAAACTTTGTTTTTAGTATATATTTTAATTTACTCTTCTCTATTCTCTCTTTTCTTATGTAGGTTGATAATCTCATAATTATTATAAATCTTGTATATTGGATCAATTTCATTAGAGCTTCATCTTTTTATACTTCACTAATTGAAAAATAAAAGTTGTGTGTGAATTTTTAATTTTAATTATAGAAATTCAATTTATGCCGATATAAAAATAAGGAGAATATGTAAATAAGTATCCAATTGCAAATGGTTAGATGAAGGATAAATGTGATTCCAACTTGTCGGTTGAATTAGCTTAGGATCTAAGCTGGTTTAATACTATTAATTAATAAACACAGTTACTTTCCAGCTACCAGTTTTCCCATATCTGACTAATATTTCTTGTGACAAGTTGTTAGCGTAAGACCTAAGCGAGTCCCATAAAGTTGAATGATAGAGAACACGAATCATATAACAAATGGCAACAACAAAGATTCTAAGCTCTCTGTTTTATAAAGAAGCAAATTTTATTTGCATTTGCATATCTACTTCTTATCTCTCACACTCTGTTCATGTCTTGTTTGAGCATAAGGCTTCCTCCAGCCAAGAAGGCATGGAAGAGCTTTACTTCAAAACTTCAAACCAGGCTGCATAAACTTCACAAATCCAAAGCTATCAAAAAACCCAAGAATAATCGGCTGCAAACAGCTGCTTCAAAAACTACCAGGCCTTCACTTTTCCTGGGGCAACGCCTAATTCAGCGGAACAGGCGACGTCGTGCTCTTCCTTTTGGCTACCAACGCCACTACGTCTCCAAAAATAAAGCTGCTGCGCCTGTTTACATAGATAAGCTCTTTAAAGAGGCGCCTGTCACCGAACTGGCGGGGTTTATTCCTGATCAGCAAACATCAGAGAAGAGTGATGTTCAAAGGGAAAAGAATGAGAAGCAGATCATTGATCAAGCTGCTGCTGAAGAGGCAGGAACGAGCAGGGGAGGAGAAAAGATGGTGGATGAAAAATCTAGTGTGGGAGATGATATGTGGGAATCGATAGGATTGGCGTCGCCTATGCTGCACGGAATAGATGCAAGAGCAGAAGAATTTATTGCAAGTTTCCGAGCAGAAATGGAGCGTCAGGAAATTATAGCACGTAATTTGTAGCGTATATATAGGGTTAGTTATTTTCCATTATTTTCCACTTTTTTCCGTTGTCTGTAATATTCAATCGATTGTAAGAGGAATGATTTCAATGGCTTTGAGAAATTAAGAGGAGGAATAATCACTTACACTTGCGGTAACAACTAAGAATCCTTTGTAAAACCAGCATGGAATTATTAAAGGAAAAAGAACAAGATTTAAGTATGGTTTTTTAGATTTAGTTCGTTTTAATAAAAAAAAAAAATTCAAACTTGACTTAAATAAACCTTATATAAATTCTAAGAGGAGGATCGAACCATGTCAACCGATCAGATCGCTTCATGATCTGCTTCCTAGGAGCCCACAAGTCAGCGTCTGATTCAGAGAATGGTAACTTATTCTTGTACTAAAAATTGAAAGGAATGTACGTGTTTAAGCTGCTAATGCTTCCATTATTTTGAACAACCTGTGCCGATGGTGGTGCTCTACAGATTAATTACAAACTTTCTCTTTCTCCACACGTATTATAGCTGATAACATACGTTGTTGATTTTCCTTTTCCCCTTGGAAATCCCATTTCCTTAGCTAAGGTCGAATACAATTCAATAGGAACAAAATCTAAATGATTTTTTTTTCAGAGATTTCGGATGAATAAGGCAAAATCCAATGATTTTTTACAGTACTTATATCACCAAAATCCAGTGTTTTTCACCAATGTTTAATCCAAACGGATCGTGAGCGTTCACAATTTAGCAAGCTGATTAAAGCATTTCGCTTTTTATCAATATTTCTCCATTATGAACGATAAGCTGACAAAACGTAGGGATTGTCTCATTTTCATCAGCTATGTGATTGATTACAGTGGTGATTTTCACATGTATCATGCTCAAACGATTAGAAAACAGTTGGGCCCATGAGATTCGGATTCTTTGAACTTTTCACAAGAAAATACGCAAAAGTTTTTGAAACCAAATTTATCATGTGATCAATGGTTATCTCAACTCTCAAGATTTACGGATGACAAGCAACAGTTTAGCCACCTTTAGCTACAATATTGATGAAACCGCCCAGAGAGTTGAATTGATCATTTCTTTTTCTCTGAATTCCCTTTTCAATTTGATATGATCGAATCTTTGCCCCATAATTGCCACACATTGCTTTGAAGTCCCATTCATTTGATGATTTATGTCGTGAATTTGTTTCACTTTCTGTGATAGATGCAGTGTCTGATTTAATTTCAACCTCATTAGACTTCTCCTCTTCATCCCTTTGGAAAAGGATGTGTTCCTAAAAACCAAAATATCTTGTGAAAATAGCATGGGCTGCTCACATGTATCACACGAACTGGTGTGTCTGCTTATGGGTTTCTATTTGCTAATATTTTATACACGAGAAAAATGTTACTACCATCAATAAAGCTTAAAAATTTTCAATTATATATCCAATTCCTTGAGCATCTAAGCTAAGCAAAGCCCAGTAATGTTTATATTTCAATTGGACTAATCTTCATTTAAAACAAAAAATAAAAAGTCAGGGTTAATTACTTAATTATGAAAGTATTGTGTTTGTGTTTGACAAAAAAACTTTTGATTTTGCACCCGAGTATTTGGTTTAGTGGTAGGTGATATATCATGATAAGCGTTCAAAGAATAGATTTGAACAGATAAGGTATATTAATTTCACATAGGATAAAAAAAAAGTCATTAAATATATAAATATATTTGCATTGCACATCTCAATAAGTTGGTTTTGTGAAAATAGAGTAATGGTCACATAATAAATGATATCAAGGTCAACTCTGAGCTTATTTGACTCATCGTCAAAGGCTTAAGTAGAGGTAAACAAGGTGGATAAGTCTGATTATTTAATAAGATGTCGGAATAAAGCATGATGATAAAATTTGATCACGTCAAACACTCTAAAAAAAAGCAAGCATCGTGATAATTGTGACGGGAACGTCATGTGATTAAATGAGAGAGAATATCACATCTATCACTCAAAGAGAGTAAATAGAGTACATTAATCTTACATCAGATAAAAAAAAAAAGATCGTTGGACATATAAACATTGATGCCACACATCTTAATAAATTATAAGTGTTATATGTGACTGGTGGGAGAATGTGAGAATATCATACCAAGCACTTAAAAGAGAATAAGTAAAATGTATTAATAATCATACATCAAATAAAAATAGACGATCATTAGGCATATAATCATTGGTGGTGCACATCTCAATAAATCTATTTTATGAAAAGAGAATAATGGCCGTGTGATACATGCATATCACGCTCAAAGAGTTGGGTTTGAATTCTCTTATCCAAATAAAAGATTTCTTTCTCCTCGTGATAAATTCTGAAGATTGATTAGCTTATTTATATATTAGAATAAAGGCTTATATCCGCCTGCTATTGAATTAAAATGTTTATTTCTGATCACAACCTTTTCCGGGTGCTTGAATTGTGTCTACTACAACTCTAAAAGATCAAATAGATGCATGGCTCATACGTCAATTGAATATTTTCTGAAATCTACTCCAACTCTTAACTCTACGATCACCATTATAAAATTCAAAACATTGGTGTCTAATCTATTAATTTCATGTTGCTCTCTCTTTCTCTCTCCCCCATCCCAATTGATTGTTTTGAGTAAATAATCTCTTTGTAGGAAAACAAGTATGCAACGATTAGTTGAGAAAATCAAGTTTTCTTTTATGATGGGTTTAAAAATATATTCTTTTGATAACTCCAAATCCGACACGAAATCCCTCGCCTAATAATGAATGATTTGGTGGAGACTGTAGATTAAAAAACAAAAAACAAAAAAAGCATTTTTTGTGTGTGTGAGAGATAAGAAATATACTAGCCATTGTCAAGTTGATGTCTAGTGGCCATTTTAAAATGCCTGTAGCTCTTTTTGTTTTCAGCGGAAAATGCTTGGAGATCCATCCATTCAATAAATTACTCATGTCAACATTAAAGTTTGATCACTCATAAAGCACCCAGGTGCCAATGCTTTTTTTATTTTGTTTTTAATATATCACTTAAAAAATAGAAAAATAAATGATTGGATGTGATGAAATTTTGATGAAAAAAATATAAAACAATGGAGATAAGGAGATAAAACAAGCTGGCATCATCGTGTGGACCTCATTTTTATTTTATTGTTTTTATTATATGTGTCCAATGACATTTCAGCTTTTTTCTATTATTTTTTATTTTTTTCAAATCTTACATCTTACGTATATAAGGGGATGTTCACATGTCCTTTGTTTGTTTTTTCTTTTGTTTTTTTTTTTTTTTATGGTTCACAAATATGTTTTAAATTATAAAAATATAGTTTTTTTTAAAGATTTTATTTTTTTATAAAAAATTATTTTTAGTGTGTAAGATCTACTTATACCAAATATTTTTATTTTTTTAACTTTTAACTTTTATTTTAAAATATAAATAAATATATTTAAGATTTTAAAGTTTTTTTATGGGACTCACTTGCTACCAAAGATATATTATGTGTTTTTTTTTCCTTTTTTTATTTAATAAATAATTTTTTAGATTTTAATTTTTTTCAAATCTACTTTATATCAAGGGTTTGTTACGTATCAAGTTATTTGATTCATTTATTTAATTTTTTTATTTACATTTTTCTTTTTTTATTTAATAAATTTTTAAATATTTTAAAATTTTTAATATGGGTGCATTTGATATTATTATTAAAAATATATATGTTTTCTAATTTGATAATTTTTAAAGAAAAAAATATTAGTAGATGTCTCGATGTCGCATCTAAACTTGATTTTTTTGAACTTTTTTTATAAAAAAATTAAGGATCAGATCAAGATTTTTCTTGTTTTAAATCAAGGTTAAGTTAAAAGAGGGTTTAAGGTCTTTCATCTTACCTCAAGTATATATGTGAATTATATTTTTAATTAATTATTTTATTTTATAGTTATATATTATTATATTAATTTAATATTTTAATTTAATAAAAATGTTATATTTATATATAATTAAGATTTAATCCATTCATTATATAAATTTTATTAATTTTGACTTTCGTTTGATTTCCATTTAAGGTGTCAACGTGATTTCTTTTTTTTTTTTTTACTTTTTTTTTGTTTTTTTCAACTATTTTTGTTTTTAATTTAGACAAATTTGTTAAAAAAACAAATGAAAATGTCCACGCAGCACTCGAATTTACTTTTTCTTTTGTTTTTGGTTTTTAATTACATAAAGTTTGCAATAAATTGATCCAATAAGTAGTGATGGCAAAAAATTCGTATATGATGGGTTTTAATCCGACTCAATCTGATAGTTTGTGATTTTTTTTATTTTTTATTAGATAAAATTTGTAAGAAAATAATATCAATAAAGATGTCCACATAGCACATCATTTATTTTTTTTTTTTAATTAAATAAATTTTACAATAAAATGAGTTGATCAATAAAGATGACAAAATTATCGGTATTCTATAGGTATTTATTTGTCTGGATTGGATATGAGTATTTTCAGTATCGAATTAAGTCAGATTGATTTTTTTAGGGAAAATAAAGATTGGTCAAAAAGCAAATTTAAGGTGCTTTATCCCTAAGCCACCCTATACTATATGTAATAGTATATATTTTATTATATATTTAATTTTTTATTTATATATTATATTAATAAAGTCATTATTTCAATGATTTCCTTCTTCTTTTTTTGTTTATTTTTCTTTTCCTTTTGCTTATTTTTTTTTTGAATTTTTAAATAATAAAATTATCATTTAATAACTCAATTAAAAAATAATATTTTAAACTTAATTGGATTATCCACATAGTATACCAATGAATTCCTTTTCCTTTGTTTTATATTTTTTTTATTAAATTAATTTTGTTAAAATATAAGCCAACGGAGATGTCCATGTAATACCTTATTTGGTTTTTTTCTTTTTTTTGTATTTTTTAATTAAATAAATTTGCAACAAAGGTGACAATTGATAGAAATGCAAAAATAATCTGTATCCAATAGGTTTTGGTTCATTTCAATATGATAGTGAGCAATTTTTTAAAAATTGGGTTCGAGTTGGGATTGGTCACTTTTTTTTTTTTTTTAATAAGATATGAGATTGGTGTAAAAATGTGTTTAATATGTTTTGTTTGATTTATTTTAGAATATATATAAAAGTATAAATATTTCATTATTAATTTAATCTTATATTTATATATATATATGTATAATATTAATAAATTATTATTTAATATTTTAATTTAAAAAATTAATATTTTGAACTCAACGGAGTGTCCAAGTGACACCTTTTATGAGCTTAATTTTTTTAATTTTTTTTCTTATTTACTTTTTGAGATTTTTTTTATTTAAAATTTTTTTATATTTTGTGAGAATAATATGTGAATTTAAGTATTCACATGCTATCCTATTTATTTATTTTTACTTTTTCTTTTTTTTTAATTAAATAAATTTGATAAAAAATTAATAAATAAAAAAACAAAACAAAAAAAATTTTCACTAGTGACAACGTGCAAGTATGCACCTAATATAATTAAATCCTACGGATTTCAGCAAGAAAATCAATCTTGAGCACAAATAATGATTTTTTTTTATTTTTTGTTTTTAAGAGAAAATATTTAGTTCTGCAATTATCACTCATAATTTAATCAATGTAATCAAGTAGAATTTAATTTCGGATATGCATATCTACTGATACGTACTGATTAGCATTTCCCTTCAATTTATATCTGTCTTGAAGTTAATCATTTTCTTGGATCATGATGAATGTAAGCATTGTAATTAATGAAATCAAGTAGCTGACTTCACAGTTGATCTAGCACCACTTTTTTGGTTTGAAAGTATGAAAAAGATTATAACAATATGCCAGTCTAGACAAGTATACACATTAACTGTAGTTCTGTTTGACAAGCAAAGCACTACTGCAAGTTGGTTATTGCCAAATTATTCGATTTTGGAGTATACAAGATTAATTTGCACGTTTTGACAATTTCAAGATTGTTTAACATACTTTTCATTTTATGCTGATCAACAAGCTGAATGATTATTATTTTTTTTATCTTCATTTCCAATCTGAATAATCATGGGGTTAAAATTGAAAAAAAAAACGTTACATCTAACGTGATCGAGAAGTTAATTACTAACTACAACTCAAATTTCTGGTACTTCTGGTAAATCCCCAGCTCTCGTGAAAAGATTATACCAAAAATCCATGTTAGTATCATTATCATATAGATTTGAACCATAGTCATTGACAGGTTCCAGCGTTGCTAATGGGAAGCTTGGAAAGTACTGACGATAAGTTTGTGGGTCAGAACCAACCACTTGAAAATCGCTGGCCATGCTTGAATTGTCAGCCGATAATACTTCTGACCAGAAGTTCTCATCGATTTCAGAGAAATCTTCACGCGTTTCAATCTTCATCATGCATATGTTACTATTGTTTTCGCTTGTCGTTACTGTGGAAATTTCGCTGCTTGATTCTGGTGGGGAGACTGGCCTGTATCCGGGGCTATCTGCAGTTACAGGGCCTAGAAAATTCACGGGTTCTTGCTCTTTTTTGATGTTTTTGGATGAATCAAAATTGGCTTGTCGCTTGTTGTCATTGGAGCCATGGTTCTGTTTCAGCCTCTTCTTCAAGTGGGTGTGCCATACATTTTTAATTTCATTGTCTGTTCGTCCTGGTAATCTCGCTGCGATTGCAGCCCATCTGAAAAAGGAGAAGAAAAGCCATTGGAGAATCAGAGAATCTGCTGAGGCTATGCAGTAAACAATGTGGTGTTCTTGCCTTTGGCAGTAATTTTTTAAATGAAATAAATGATGAAAAAACTTGTTTTTAGTGTCAGATGGAGAAAATTAAGTTTAGTGCACTTTCCTAATCGGTAATCTTGTTTGGTGTTAGTATTTTTAATTGTTTGAACTTTGAAACATGTTTATAATAAACACAAATCACAGCAAGGAATCTTCTCAGTCCAACATGTTTTTGTGATATATAGTATTTATAACCAAATTGAAACTAAAAATGGTTATCAAACCCATGTGCTCTATTAATAAACAGCATATTCCAATATCCTCAAAGTTCAAACTAATAAATGAAACTAGAAATTACCCAAGAGGATCAATCAGTTTTTTTTTTTTTTTTTGAGGATTGGACCAATAAATTTAATTTCCTGCTCAAAACCTTAATAGATCTTCATGTTTCAAAATGGATGAACTTAAATTCTAGTATGGAATTTGGTTTTAGTTTAATTATGTTTTGTTTTAAGCTAGTGAAATGGAACTTTAAGTTTGTGGGATTAGAGGAATTCAATCAAAATACGCACCTATTACCAAGCATTTCATGTAAGTTAATTATGGTATCCTCTTCTTCCCTGGTGAAATTTCCTCGTTTAATGTCTGGCCTCAAATAGTTTGTCCAACGTAGCCTGCAACTCTTGCCACACCTCAATAAACCTGTAAAAACAACAAGAAAAAGAGAAGAGCAAATGATGGTCAAAACCAATACAACTAAATTACACGCAATAACAAATCAAGATTATGAAAATTTTGATGCATTTTTTTTCAACAAGTAAATTACCAGCTTGTTTCGGGAGTGCTCGCCAGTTGCCATGGCCGTAGAGTTTAATGTAATCGATGAGAATCTGATCTTCTTCAGCGGTCCAAGGACCTTTCTTCAATCCCATTTTCTCACAGCATGGAGCTCTCACCATTGTCCTCTCTCTCCCTTTCAAAGCTGAACAAAGTCTGGCTGCTGTCTTGTTAGCTCTGTTTTGAGATGCCAAGAACTGATTATAAGCTCAAAATAACAGTATTTATAGGGGTTTTATAATAGCAGTGCATCATAAGAGTCAAGAAAAATGCAAAACCAAAAGTTGGGCTGCACAAAAAAGTCCAAAGTGTAATATTACATTATTGTTATATTTTTTTTTCATATTTTTCAAAAGGCATATCTACGCCCACAATTTCTAGGAAATCTCCTTTATTCATGTATATCATCAAGGTGTAGTGTGGTGATGGGATCGGTTGAGTGGTCAATTAAAACGTGGGGATATATCATATCATATGGAGTTATTGATTTGAATAGAATGATTTATGTGCACAAGTGCATGAACTTTTCAGGCAGTTCATTCAGCTTTACTCCAAGTATATATTTCAACTGGTGTTGAGTGGCTAAATATTTTGGTAACAACTGGCTTACTTTGTGACTTCAAAAGCTCATTGGAACACAACACCTATATTTTAGAGTTTAACTTGGTCAAAACTGACCACTCAAACCCAGTTCAGTATAGTACTTCTCAACAACAATATTTATCAAGTGAAAGCATGCATTTGAGCATTTGACTTAAATTTTATTTGGATGACTGGTAAAAAAAAAATTCAGGATAATAAAACAACATGATGAATCCTGCTCTATTAGCCATCCCAATGAAGCATTAATTAATTGACACGTCGTTTTCCTTGTCAAAGAGCAGAGTCGAATTTTCTTCTTCTTAAATTTAAAATTAAAAAAAAAAATGTTGAAGTAGTACTATTTAATATCTAATAAATATCCAGTATTTTATAGTTTTATATTCAAGTTGATCTTCCACTTATAAAATATTAGATATTTATTAAATATGAGATAATATCATATTAACAATATATATTAGCAACAATCTTTTTCCATTCCTCTGGGTATAATCTATTCTTTAAGTGAAGTTATCTTTTATTTTGCTGTGGTATTATGAATAATTTTAATTAGGAGAATAAAAAATCAAGAAACATAGTTATCTACGATATGTTTAGATGTACGTAATTAATGTAAGGATAGCTGTTTAATTAGTATTATGTTTTTCATTACACATAAAGGCTCATTAGAGTAGAAGAAGGGTAAACCTTTCTTTTCAAAGGTGCTGCAATTGTGAACTGTCATAGTTTTAATTTTTTAAATTAGAAAATAAATTTTTTTTTCAGGTTTCACACGATGGAAAAGTAACTCTTTTTCATACCAGCTCCATCTAAATTTTCTTTTGGGCTATAGCTCCACCTAATTAAAACTTGATTATATCTTATTAATATGGTTATTAAATATATTATATCTAATAAGAAAAAACATTATATAAAACGATTACTTCATCTCAATATATGTTTCTTTTATTCAAATAATATCATATAATTATATTATTAAAAAAAATCAATCATTTAATACATGTCATATGAATTTATCAAATTAAGTACTCATTGACCTATTGTTGTTATCATAAACCAATGCTAAGAAATTGATTGAACTTTATTTTTTCTTCTCAAATAATATTAAAGGCAGACAAAATTATATGAGAATTTTTTGGGGCATCTTTAATTAGAACATATGGAGTTGCATTTTCTCTTTGATGAATTTGGTACCATATGCTATATATTTAGACAGAAAAAAAGAAGATAAAAATTGGCATTGTTTTGAAATTGGCATGTTAATGGTGTTGAAACTTGAAAGGGTCAAGAAAAGCAGCTTGTGCTTTGTGCTCATGCGTGGGACAAACATGGAGGTTTTTTCCCAAGTGAAGGTACTATTTAATTTTAATTCTCAAACTGGAGTACTTCTAAATTTTTTTTCCACAATAAAGATATTTTGACTCGATTGACGTCCACATCAGCATTCTATCCAAATGAGCATCTTCTTTCATCAATTCTTTTCATCTTTTTTCGTGCAAGTTGCAACATATTGTTATCTTTTTCATAATTTTTTCCTCCAATCTCATTCTCTGAACAAAGTTCATCAAATAAGTATTTACAGAAAATAAAACTTGAATAGATAAGCCTTCATTTATCTTGAGAAATACTCAAATTTGAATTTTTTAAAATTTATCTAACCTAAAAATCCTTTTGGTTATTAAGAATGGAGAGGATTGAAGGATAGATTAGGGGAAGAGCGAGATGGATATCCTAACATTCAATGTAAAAAACCTATATTACTGTAAATTAAGGAGAAAGAAAAAGAAGAAAGTTTAAATTTAGAACCAAAATAAAATTTTGTTGGGAGGAAGTTTAATGAGAAAGGAATTAAAAAATTCGGAAAAAGAAAAATATTATAGAAAAAAATCGAAAGATCACGTTTTTGTCGGAGGGTTAATGGACAACGGATTTTGTGATTTCATATTTTCACTCCCACAAGTTTTGTGAAGGAGAATGATTCAAGGAGTTTGGCAAGTGAGTACTCTTTTTATTTCAAGCTTACTCATACACAGAGGAGAAAGAGGGAAGAATTGGAGGAAAGAGAGTGACGAGTAATTATCATGCCAACAAGCAGTGCAATTGTATAAAACTACTTGATTTTAGGAATAAAAATTGAAAGTACTTAATTTTGGAAATAAGATTATAAAATAACCTAATATGGAAAAAAAAACTCGGCAAACATGTTCAGGCTTTAAATATTACTAAAAATATTTGCTTCCACTATTAAATAAATAAATATATATTCACAGCAAATTAATTTTTTTTTTTTTTGAAATCATGTGAGATAATAAAAATAAGTAAAAAAACAGAGGACTTGGGGCCATATGATCAAGTTTAGCAGTTGACTAATAGTCTACTCTTAACCTACAACAATTAAATGTAACAATGTGACATTTAATAACTGAATTTTATGTAATGTTACAAGTAAAGTAATACACACTTTTGCTGTAAATTAAATATACTTTGTAACACCAATTGTAGCATCGATCTTTTATGATGCAAAAATTATTTTTGTCATAATATACAAATTATTACAAAATGTTGCAATTAGAAGTATTCCAAAAAGTATTTTTAACGATTTTTATGTTTATTAATTTTTTTTATGAAATGTGAATTGTAATATATAGTTGGAACTTTTTTTTTTTTTTTTACCATCACATATAGTTGCAACTTATTAAATATTTGTGTGTGTGTGTGTGTGTGTGTGTGTTTGTGTATATATGTATAATTAATTAATGCTATGAGAAATAAAAGTTTTGCAATATTATAAACTTTGCTTCAAAAAACTTGTTGCTAAAAGATCATAAATTGATTTTTTAAAACGAATGCAACATCATGGATATATGGAATTTAGTGTATCATGGCTAGCCAATAAAGTCATATACAAGTTGGATAGAAAATACAATGAGAAAGCAGCTTTGGCTTCTACAATTTTATACAATTCTACATAACTCAGTCTGGTCATGACATGATCGTTTGCAGATTTCAAAAATAGTTGGAGACTTTTCCAACTTTTTAATATAGACTAATATTTGTTTTATATGACAATATATTTTCGGTTGACACAAGCATACTTGACAATTACCTAAACTCTCAACTATGATTTCAGCAGTTATGTTTGAGTAAAAAATGTCTGCTATTGAGAAGTACTTAATTTTCTGTCAATGAGAAAATCATAATTTATATATAGGTTAGTCTATTTAAATTATTATTATAAAAAGAAGATTATTAAAACCATCATGACTTTTATTTAAGTTCATATTTTCTACAATGATGTCACAAATTAATTAGGTAAAAAGTCGCTTATTTTTGTCTCACAAATTGTCATGTTGGAAAATACGTAAAGCTAATTGACAAAGTTTCAACGTTCAAATACATAGAATTTACACTAGCTTCCTTTTTGCACAACATTTTAATATTTAATTGATAATTTAAGAGGAAAAGAAATACATTATTTTCTTTTTTCCATGAAATTACATAAGCAATATGGTACGTATTGTTGAATGCTTGAACTCAAATTTTCAGCAATATAAATTAAAGCATAAACATAGTTAATGTTAAAATTTGTAATAATCATTTTATTTTATATAAAAAAAAATTGTAAGTAAGAGATAAGAAAAAGAGAATTATAAAGGTTGAGGGTCGAATTATAATTTTACAAGAATTTAAAAGTGAATGAATCATTTGAGTAAATCCTATATTCAATTTAACGTATTTATTTATGTTGATAATTATTATATAAACTAAAATGCTTTGAAAATCATGGAATAAAAAATCAAATATATATTTTTAGACAATTCAAATGCAGACTTTGAATTGAGTAAAACTTCAAGGATTGCAAGTAACGTGGATAGTGTTGAAATACAAAAATTCAGTAATATATTAATTTTCTATGTATGAGGTTGCACAAATTAACTAGAACTCAATAAACAAGAGACAGATAAGCTTCTCTACCATTGAAAACTTTTTCCTAACTTTTCTTGGGAGAGAATAAATTACAGTAAAACAAAGGCAGACTGGTCATAAAAGGAAACTTTTACGTGACTCTCAAGGGAAATAATTGATAGATGAGTGGCCAAAGATCTTGATTAAATGGGAGATGGGAGGAGTATTTTGTTTTGGTAACCTTTCCCGGTTAAATGTATTAAGACTTGAAAATGGGTGATTTTGTTGAGCCCACCATAATCAAAATGTTGACTTAATTGATCATCAATTCATGATCAGCTTCTTTACTGTGGTCCTGTGGGGTAATAGTTAAAGCATGCTTCCATTTCTTATGTCAAAGCTTTTGAAGGGGAGGGAGCATTATAAATTCCTAACTTAATTGGTCACTTTTTTAAGTCAATCCGTAACATTTGAGGTTACCGACACTGGCTAGATGCTCAATGTTTCTTTGAATATCTTGACATGCTTCCAACATGTATATGCCCTCGTGTCTTTTTTTTTTTTTTTTAAATTTTATCTCAAAATGCAAAGTTTATCACTTTTATAAACACAAGCGTGCAATGTTTTTTTTTTTTTTTAGATTTGAGATTTGAGGAGAAAGGTATTTATAAATAATATATATGCACGTGGATGAAACATATATAGCCTTCCCAATAATTCCAAGATGACATGTGCTTTAAACCCCTTTCGCCACCTCTTCTTTTTGGGTA